ATTATCCGTTTAGATAATCCCGATATAAAAAAAAAATTATCACTTAAAAAAAAAAAATAGCAGCGAGTTTTACCCTTTGAACAAAAGTTTTAAACAAAATTATACCATTTAATTCCGATTTCGCGTTTCCTTTTTTTTTATGTTATGACAGATTGATTAAAGAATTAAATATAAAATTCCTTTTTATTTTTTTAAATTACTCAGTTCAAATATTTGACTGATGAATAAGAAATTTTTTTATTTGATTTCGACCCACCGCCAGAAAAGGTTCGCTATCATTGGTATAGACCATCTCGTGGGGTTGAGGAAAGGGAAGTTGGAGGGTAGTTGGGAGTTTAGAAGAAAGGGGATTTGTAAAAAGAGCGATCGATTCAGGAAAAGGGTGGTACAGCAGAGATATAGCGAAACGTTCGTTGGATTTGTAGCCGTCGAACGGATCGGTTCAGCACGGTGCCCGAGATTAACCATCTTGGTTACGAGCCAGCTAGCCTCTTGCTTTATTTCTGTGTCCCTCATAAACACAAGACTCTTCTATACTTCTCTTCGTCATACTCTTACAGTTACCATTCTTGCATTTATTTTTATGCCAATGTATCTTGACTATTACGAACTCCGTTACAAGACAGGTATTAAGTATATACGTAATACCTGTGCAATTTTTTTTTCTCTTTTATTGCATATCATTACGAGGAGATACTTTCGAGATGTCTATATATTATAAAAAAAAAAGAAAAAAAACAAATATGGCGACTGTCGAGCACGATGCTCTCTATGGTATTTCTTGATATAATCTAATTCGGGTAAGATTTCCCTGCGGGTGAAACGGCTCAGTCTCATATTTTTTTAAAATATGATTCGTTTTTCTGATATTTTTAGTAATTGGACTGACAATTATTAGCAAAATTCATGAACATGTATTCTTTATTTATTTTCAATTAAGAAATTAGATAAATTATTTGTAACATAGGAATTAAAAGCTAATAAAAATTTTCTGCTCTTCCTTTATATTATTATTATATTTACCAACGTCGATATTATCGTAACATTATCGAAGAAATAAATAAATCATTATTGTCCTGACTCTAGATGGCTCGATTTTTTTCGAGAATAATTGGCCTATTATAAAATTATACACTTTTCGATGTAAATCTGTCTGTTTACTCAGGTGGATTCATATTTTTTTGCATTAATCATTTTTAATAGCGAACGTTTAATTCTGCGCTTTTTCAAATAAAGAATAACAACCGGAACATAGTGTAAAAGTGAAAAAGATATAAAAGAAAATAGAGAACCTGAAGCTATTTTACCTGGTTGCTCGCAAGCAATTAATAAAAAGACTCCCGTGACGGACACGTCAGGAACAACGCTAAATAAAATTAATTCAATTCCCAGTACAATCATCAAGTGTAGCTCAACGAATTAGAAAATATTGGATACATTTAAAATAGCAAAAACAACGAAAAGTACTCAAGATTCAGACAAGCTCAAACGTAAATAGATTTTGGAGAAATCATCTTCGGATGAAATTTATTCAGATTTTGTGACCCAAGAGTTGGAAGAAAGTTTTGAAGAAAAATATAATGCTGAATGCATCTGGTTTTAGGTGCATTACAGCTGTACATCGAAATAAGACGATTGGATTCAATATGTGAGACGTGATAAGTGGCTTCACGGAGGATGTGCAATATTTTTGGATTTATATGATCTTTGTAAAATAGTTTTGTTTGAGCAAAAGGAGTTAATTTTTTTCCTCTTACTTCTAAAATCTTTTATTTCTAAAAATTTTTTATTTCTACGAATAAATACGAAATATAAATAAGAAAATATTTTTTTGCTTTGGATATCAATTAAATTTGTTCATAATGTATTGAACTTCAAAAAAAAAAAAAAAGAAAGTAGCTCCATCTTACCCTTTATATTTGTGATTTTTACAGTATTTATTTATGCAAAAAGAAAGAAAGAAATTATTTCCATAACCAAGTTGCATCTTAAATAACTTTTAATTAATTATATATTTCTAATAATTTAATAAGAAACTTTTTTTAATGTAAGAAATTTTGAAAATAAAATATTCAATTGTATCTTCCTTATCTTTTATGATTAGATACAACGTTTTATTAAAATTACTGCTTCGAAATTGGGTCATAAATTAGGTATCGCTATTTTCTTTCGTTCTTTCATTTTCCCATCTTGTTTCAGCACAATATAGCTTCCTAAAATTATTATTAACACATGCGACGCGTTTAATAGCTTTGATCATCGTTACGGCGCAAATTTGATATTAATGAGTTGTCCCGTTTTCTAGAAACACGGCTCGAATCTGGTAAGTTTATATAATCAAAATTTATAATCGCTAATGCGTTATATCGAATGAATGATTTTTATAAATTTTAATAACGTCAAATGAAAATACAAAAGAGAAAGAAGTAATTATTACAAATAATTTATTAGTTTTTTAAATAATTTAGACATTTTTTGATAGTGATCGAAATTAAAAATTAATTTGAACTTAATACTTTTATTATAGAATTCAAAATAAAAAAAATATATATTTAGTAATATTTAGTAATACTTTTATACGATATGTAGTTGTTACATATTTAATTGATTTTTAAATAAATTTAACTGATATTTAATATCGATATGTTATTTCTGTTATTTGATATATTATTTCGTTGCAATGTTATCATGAATTAAGAAGAAATTAAGTGTTCTTCATTTTATTTGGATACAACTATATATCGATTTTTTATGTATATGTAAACGTATGGATTTTAATCTATGGATAAATCTAAATGGAGATATTGATAATTGTAGGAAAATAATAAAAATTCATATGACGTTTTAAATTAAAAACCTGGAAGTACAAAAGAATACACAACAGATAGATATAGATATAATACAATGATTAAAGTTGATTCATGGTACTGCAGATCCGCAGGAAATTAGTTTTACTCATGAATCCGGAGAGAGCTAGAACAAAATGTTATATGAATTGAAAAACTAAGAACGTTTATTGGGACAATCAAAGAAGCATTCTTCATTTAAACTTGAGTAACTTTCAAAGGTTATTCGTTTACATTAAATTAAACAGATAATTCTTTATAATTAAACGTAGTAATATTTATATTTTTTTTTATTGGTCTTCTTGAACTTTGATAAAAATCACATTAAAATTACATATAAAAAGAATTTAGAACTTTTCTCTTAGAAATTAAAAAATGTTAAACAATAAATACTAACATGAACGAAATTCTAAAAGTTAAAAAACATTCTTATTAAATAATACATTCGAAAAATCATCAAATATTGCGTTATTATTTGTAAAATCGTAGTGTTTACTTATAAAGTTCGAAATTATCAGAAAGCTTTTTTTTTGGTTAAAAACTCTCAATACTAACAGTCGATAAGATAAGAATCTACTATGTCGATTCTTTGAAAATTCCTCAGTATAGTAACATATAAAAGTTGTTCATCATCTTTCGCACAAAGTATGTATGACTTCAGCGACAGATATGGACAAAGTATGAACTACAAGAGCAAGAGAGGAACGAGGTTATAAGATTGCGTAGGTTATACTTTATAACACTAAAAAATGATAATACTTTAATATTTAGTTAGTATTTGATTGAAAAAATTTTGAAAATATATTGAAGTATGCAGCCATTCTCCCGGTATTACTTAATATATTACAAGTAATATCGACTCAGGTCTCACCACGTGGAGGTTGCTGCATCTGAAGACCCACGGGCTAACGCTGACTGTACTCTAAATTACGCGATACCAGAATGATTTGCCACTTATCGATTCAGATTCCAATGTTTAACAGAAAGATAATAAAGTTTATGAATAACAATTTTATAGAAATAAGAAATATATTATTTATATAAGATGAAAGTATGAATTTTATTTAATTCTAAAACAAAGAACAATGAAAAATGTATGAAACTCAACTTTAATAATGAAAATCCAAATATCAAATAATTCTACTCATGTAACACACAATGTAAATATGGGGCGACGAAATATTACGTCATCTAAATTTTTCAAATCTACCTTTACACCTATCATTATAAGAGCATTTAAAATGACAACATGGCAAAAATAAAATATGACTAAAAGCCATTCTCGAAATGATCTGAAAGAATCTTCGAAAGTAACTCAATAGCTTATAGTTATCCTCTTGAGGTACATTTTTGGCATATAGCCTCTTGTTTGCCTTATATTTTAATTTAACTGATCATCATCCAAAAAGTGTAATAATCAAATTTGATTACAAATTCTAAGATATGAAAAAAACCTTAATACAATCCTAACGTATCTAAAAAAAAATATAAATTTTATCTTTTTGGAGAGATACCTTTTCACGGCATAAGAAAAACAGGAATTAGTATATTAACTGCAGAAAATCCTGAACTAAAAATTGATTAACTTATTTTAGGACCGACGGGCTGTATTGATTCTATCAATCTCCTATCCTTTTATGAATAACTTTACCCGACTTTTTTCATTTAAAAGCAATGACTCTTGAGACTTTCTTTTCATCAACAAAATTGATTAAATATTTAATTAATTTTTATTAAAAAATATAATGAAAAATCCTTGAACATTCCTTCTTACAAGCGATTACTTTAATTATTAGAAAAAAAATCATTTCAATTTCCTTTGTAATCCAGAGACTATCCATCACGAATGTCTTTTTGTTCCTTCTTTATTAGAACTATATAATATCGATTCTTTACTATTTTTGCGAGAGAAAAATATTTAAAACCCCATTGAAATATTCAAATTGCAAATAATTATGAAATAAGAATATCCTATTTTAATCTGTTAAATAAATCAAAAAATAAAAAACCATTCAAGAGTAAATCTCCGAAGAAATTTATTCGTGGTTACTCAATGCTCTTCTATTAATTAATTACAATTAATCAGCCGTGCCAATTGGGATCTTTCGTTTTCGACATGATAGAGTGATCGGAGGAAATTAAAAATTTACTTACTATTTAAGAAGTTCTGCGATAGTTCCAAAACACTCTACCGCGATTTAGATCGAAATTGAGGGTGGATGATTCGTAGGTGGTTGAAAATGAGGTAGACCGACATCGCTATAGATTGAGATCCTCTTAAATGATACACTGACTCTAATACGCAATAGTTATTTTTTAACGGACGGTCACTGAAGTTTATTTCCGAAACACTATTGTCTTTTATAAATACAGTCTGTACGATTGTTAAAAAAGCATAAAACTTTACGAACGATCACTGACTCTAACGACTGCATTGCACGCAGTCGATGCAAAAACACTTGTTGTTTAAATCGCGAAACGTGAATGAACAAACACTGCCTCTACTTCGCCTTATTTTTATTTTAGCAATACAAACAATCGATTATATCAATGCTTCGTATGTGATTGCAATGACGTTCTGAAACAGAAAAATGTAATGTTATTATATAAAATTAATATTATAATAATATGAAATAGAATACTTCGCTTCAAATTGTATAAATAAATCTAAAATAATGAAAAGTATGATTTATATAACCTTACCTGTTTGGAAAGAGACAGCTCCGATCTTTACTCGTCGAAGTCCAAAAGGAAACTGATTTGATAACAGTCAAAGTCAGTGAGAAGGTCGTTGTTGTTTAAGTAACTAAACAACGACCGCGCGTTTAAATTTTAATTCTATTTAAATATTAATTTAATGTTTGAAGACTGATTTATTAATATGTTATTGATATATTAATAAAAAAATGATTATTTATAAGAAAGATTTTAAATATTTTTAGCAACCGAAGTTAAAAGCGTTAATCGATATTATTTTGAATTTTTTACTGTAGATTTTTCACCGAAAAAGTTTTAGATTTTTGATTGGCGTTAAAGGATTCAGTGCCCTAGCTAAATCGGACGATGAAAATAGTCGAACTGGTTACAATATTAACACCAAGCGAAACATCGATCGCACGTATGATCGATTGAACCACCAATCAGATTTTCTCCCGTTAGTGCGTTTTTTTTTCTATTGAATATTGAGAGTTCAGATTCGAAACGTTCAGGTTCGCTCCATCGACATTCGTTGTTTCAAACTGCGAGAATCCAATTATGAATACGCGCGGACCTTCCAACCACAGATATGTAGATACTTGCATATATTCTTGAACTAGAGTAGACATAAAAATGAAAAAAGAATTCGATTGAAAATAGGACAATTCGACGATAAATTATTTATTATCATTTCACTTTCAATTTTATTCTTGTCCGTAAAAAAAAAAAAAAAGAAAAAAAAGAAAAGAAAAGAAAAGAATAGAAAAAAGACTGAAACAAAGTTGCATCTCTTCTTTAAGCTTTGCTGAAATGTAATTTCTACAATATTATTACAGAAATTAACACGGAATGTTATATTAATTATAATTAAAACACATATAATCTTGTATATATAAGATTCTGTAGATTCAACATAAAATTATACGTGTTTATTTAAAATGGAAAATGTTAACATGATATTAATACAAACAAAATGACGGGCTAGTTTATTTTACATTAAAACGTTTCCTCCTTTTGTCTTAATAATTCTCTACTTTATTTAATAATTTCTGTAAAAGAGAAAAGAATTTTTAAGTATAATTACAAAGAGTTTCTTATGCTCCTAATCTAATGAAAAACGTAAGAAAGAATTGTTTTCAAAATTACTTGAGATATCCGAAAATCTTTCATAACGTTTCATATCAAAATTTAAATGTATATGCGTGTACATGAGTGTGTATATTGCTTAAATTTTTTAATGAATTAATTTGAAATTTATATCAAAACTCAAGTTAAATCCTACAAAATTCTATGAATAATTCTATGATTCAGTTTGATTTTCAGTTTAAAAACGACGAACATTTCAAACATTTTTAAAACTAATGAAAGGTCGCATACGCGGTAATAAATTAAAATAAATAAAAATTATGTAGGATTATTTAAAATAGTAGAAATCATCGATGTGGCCTACATCGATCATGCTTATTTTGTATTTCACGTGGAAATACTGTTTAAATATATATTCTCGATGTTTAGGAGGACTTTTTTTTCTAAAAAATATGTATCCTCTTTATATATTAGATAATTTAAAAATTTTACGAATATACGAATACGGATACATGAAAGAATTTTTATATACACGTGATACAAATATCGATACGATCGAAGACTGATTATTCTGTTTGTATCTTCTAGTCAACGATAGAATACGCAATATCGTTTATTTACACTCGATTTATTCCAGAGTAGTATGTAAACATCAAGCGTTTCTTCTGTATACATATTATAACTAAGCAAAAATTTAACAGGTTTAGTATAACGTCAGCTATTTTTCTCTTTTTTCGATTATCAAAATCTATTATCGAAAGTAATATTTAAAATATTTTATTTCTTGCGATTCATATACTTATCGACTATGAAGGAAAAATCGAGAAAAAATGTCAATAAAGTAATATCGAATAGATTTTGTTGAAAGTTTGGAAACGAAACAACGTTTTGTTGAAAATCGAAATAGAAACGTAGGTGAAATAAAAAAAAAAAGGAAAAAAACCAAAACAAAACAAGAAGGATCGTTGTAAATCGATACTTTTATATTAGAGACGAAGCAATCTCTTAGCTATAAGATTAAGAACGGTACAGTAGTAAGCACTCTTTTAACGAGGTACTCATTGACGGATCAAAGACTTTTCACATTTCAGCGAGGCTCAGCATCTTCGAGTACCATTTCGATGCTTAGACAAAGGAGCAAGCTCGATAAGAGGGAATACAAGTACGAACGAAGGAATTCATCAAGAAACGCGTTCTCGTCTTGTATCGATTTTTGAGGTACTCCATATATACCTACACACATACACACACATATATATCTTTCTCTCTGTCTTTCACATATCTTCTTATCCTCGTTGAACGAAGGTGCGCTATCTGTCGTTTCCCTGAGAAGTATCATTGTACGACCTATAAGTCGATAATAAGCTTAGAGCACCATTTGAAGCAGGTGCATGCTAATGTGGAAATATATAGAGTATTAAAAAGAGATCTCAGAACTACGAAGATGTAAATGGAAAAATTAACTTTCACAGGATTATAAGTATTATAATTTTGAGTTTTGATAATAACATCGACTTATTTCTATGCCATGCAGTGCTCAAGTATAAAATTATTACGATTTTATCTTACCATGCTTTTATTTTTAATATTTACAAAATGGTTTTCTTTGTTTATTATTATTCTAAATTTTATTATCATACATCCGATACATTTTTGTAAATCGAAAAAAGATTTTTTTAAGGATACCGATATATTTTCTCAAACATTTTTGGTATTGTCTATGCAAACTTTTAATAATTATCCTTATAAATATTGCGTATCATCATTGATAGATAGATAAACAAAAGTTTTCAAATATAATCATTTAAAAAAATTCAAAAGATTTAAAACGAGAGATTAAAGAGGGTTAATCAATTCCATATTTAATCAAATCTAATCAACCCTGCTCTATCTATCTTTAAATGATAGTCTGATTCAAATGTTGTCTTAAAATGATTACAAAATGTGATGACATATAATCGTGTACGAAATACATTTGAAAAACATTGGGAGAATGAATTTATTATAAATCATAATACATGTATATACATTATATATATATATATATATATATATATATATATATACATGTATATGCATATGCATTGATTTTTTTACAGTCCGAGCGAAACAGGCTTGTTCTGATATATCACAACATATTTTCTTTCTCTTCTTTTTTTTTCAGTTTAACTCTCCAAATTTTTCATTTCATATAAAACATAAGAAGAATATAATATAAATTTCATCAATCCATCATTCAATGATTTTATCAGTCAAGAGCATTCATCTTTCTTCATTGATATAGTATAGAGAAAAGAAAATCGAGGTCAATAAAATCGTCGATTATTCTACACAACAGTCATTAACCCAACTTTTTTACCCTTTTACTAAAACTGACTCGTTCTAATGATTATCGAAATAATCACTCATGCAAGTAATTACTTTCTTTCCTTTTTCCCCAATGAAATAACTCATTGAAATTTTCAATATATTATGGATATACAAAATAAAAAGAATAGAGTGGAATGAAAGATATGACAATAAAAGGGAAAAGAAAGAAAGAAAGACAAAAAAAAAAAACAAACAAACTACGATATTATTTCTACTTTAATGAAACTTTGTTTGTCCTTTTAACCGTATACTCGTCATAAACAGTTAACATTTTAACAATGGATATCCATGAGAGATATCCCTCTTTGTGTTTTCGTTCATAGATACTCAACAAACTCAAAGGAGTAATCCACGTAGATGTTCTGTTCATGGCTGACTGTGGCCGATGAATGAAATCCAAGGTAGTCGACCTTATTTTGCGTCAGCCTCTCAACCCCTTCCTATCGTTCTTTAGCTATCCTCCCTTGCTCCATTCTCTCCCCCTAGCACCAACAACCTCTTTTCCTCCCCTCTTTCCTTCGATTACTCCCCACTCCTTCTCGTTCTCCTCTTTCTCCACTAGTCCATATCCCTCACGGTGACTGTTCCCACACGGTCTACCGCACTGCTGACGTAACGCGCCCCTTTGACGTCACGAGCGAGGCGAACGTACCACCACCTCCGTTGTCGTTGAGGATAACGTCCTACCTCATATCCATCCATCGTTTTTTTTATCTTCGATATATTCGCTAATAAATTCTCTTTTTTACTTTCCAAGCATCGATATCATTTACTTTTATAATTCCTCAGTTTATTTTTCATATTGATTAAGGAGAAATTCGAACGAGTTGATTAAAGTCAGAAATTCAAAATATTGATCATCAATCGGATAAGTATATCGAGATCATATGACGGATTCTTTTCTCAATTAATTTTACGAATACGTTAAAATATTGAACGTAATAAAAATAGTACAAATTTTTCTACACGAAATCTAATTGAAATATGTGTAAATGATACACGGACAACCTGTTCGAAGAATTTTATTGAAATCTCTTTGAACGTTATATAAAAAAAAAATATATATATATATACATTTTTTTTTATTAACGAAGTACCAGGAAAAATAATTTTACGAAATATTTTAGTTATCATCTATGTGTTTTTGCATCGCTACATAAATACAAAACATCATATTTCCTCTTTCTCTCTCTCTCTCTCTCTCTCGCTCTCAGGCGCACACACACGCGCGCACATACACTTGTAAAAAAAAAAGAAATATTAGAGAGTGATGCAATTGCAAAAAATGTTGGCAAATTTGTTCATATAATGTACACGACAACGGGCACTGGGCAGAATCGAACATTTCCATATATATTTGAAACTCTAAAATATATCAAAATGAAGTTTGAATTAAACGATCTTACAAACAATAATTTTTTTCTAATAATATCTATACAATATATTGTTCGTTTTTTTTACCGTTTTCTAATTTATTTTTTCGAAACAAATTCAAAGAAGGTTACAATAAATAACTTCAGCTCCACTGTTGGATTAGTTGGACTTGTAAGCGGGATTTGTGCTAATATTGTACTAGGATATATGAAATCTCTGGCTAACCATTCCTCATTACATTTAAGGAATTTAATCTCTGTAT